TGTAAACCTAAATAATATATATATATATAAATAAAAAAAAAATATATATATATATATATATATATATATATATATATATATATATATATATATATATATATATATATATATATATATATCCGGAATAGTCTGTCTCTTCCCCGACTCCCCATTGTCTTTTCCCCTCTCTCCCCCACATCCTCCATCTTCCTTCCTCTTCCAATCTTCCGTCTCGTCTTCCCCATCTCCCCTCCAACCTTGAACAGATAGACATTTCCATTTATTTATATAGAAGTGTTACCTGGGTCTCTTCCACCCTTTCCCCTCTCCTCACTTTATCTCCCCCTTGACACCCCCTCGTCCCCAGCCCCTTTGTCCTCCTCCTTCCCCCCCCCCCCCAACTCAATACAGTACACTACACCACACACCATCCTCACCACACACTCTCCTCACTACACCACACCACACCATCCTCACCACACACCATCCTCTTCAACACATACCATCCTCCTCACCACACACCATCCTCCTCACCACACACTATCCACGTTCCAACAAGCATATTAATTCACATCAAGTGCCACGGCCTACATTGTAATTCAGCTTGAGTTACCAATTGATAAACGTTGCTCAGCAATGTTATTTAATAGCCTGTGGATCCCACATTTAGCTATTCAGCTAGAGCTTCTACTAAATATAATCCCAACGTGTGGCCACTCCCAGGATGAGTGGCGCTACCCAATAAACTCGCGCCTCGGGGCAAAATTAAGTTAAATGTGCTAGCCTAACAACTAGCCTCACTCACTTGGAATTCGTTATTTCTGAAATCCCAATTTATTTTCTTTGGTGTAAATGATGTCGACAAGGCAGTCGGAAGACACACATCTTATATGCTGAAAGTCCCTATACAAACAGATCTTGGTTTAAGAGCAGGTGGACGTTTCTTCAGTTTACTTATTATGCACCCCATATTCTTCATGTGAGTGATAATGGAAAAGGTTAGAGCCACAAAATGGGCTCAGGATCTGAACCCTAAAAATCAATTTAGGTAAGCATGTAGACGGAGGAGGCGGATAAGAGCGCGAGCAACACGATACAGCATGATTCACTAACGTACTGGTGGGGACTTTCCACGGGCGGCTCCTGCTCTGCCACGATACTCGGCCCACTCCATGTTCCTCACCTCGTTAACTCGGCAACACAGACTACTGTCATTATTGCCCTGCCTGACTCCCTGACCCCTTGTCTCTCTTTAATTTGTAGACTAACGATAGAAAAATAAATGTCGCCATGTCATATAGCTGGCAGGACGATACCTGTGCCTAATTTATAACAAAGCTGACCCATTTTTTTCAACCATTTGGGTACAGGGGTAGACGGCTACCGATACCCTCTTCCCCCACTCTTTGCAAGCTTCGAGAGATTCTCCCTTTCTCAAGCTCATGTTAAAGTCTTACCGTACTAAATTTTACCTGGAACACGACCCGCCAATCGGTGTGCAACCAGGTCCCCAATTGCTACTGGGTGAAAAGGGGCAAAGAGTTAATAATAATAAATAATAATCATTTTTATTTAAGCAAAAGTATACATATATACATACATACATGCATACATGGGGTAGAAGATTGAATGATTCATGGGTAGGACAAGTACAACGAATGCTTAAACCCACCTCATAACGCTATAAAGATAAATGATTTACCAATGATACACAACTTTGCAGCGAGACCCAAAAATACACCACATATCGCCACTTGACAATGAAGATAGCAATTATTTTCTTGAGAGAGAGAGAGAGAGAGAGAGAGAGAGAGAGAGAGAGAGAGAGAGAGAGAATAAAGAGCATATATATATATATATATATATATATATATATATATATATATATATATATATATATATATATATATATATATATATATATATATATATATATATATATATATATATATATATATATATATATATATATCTAATCGGAGAGAATAATCGGAGGATGGAGGCATCCTCTGTTATTTCTTCTAGTTCGTTCCAATTACACCAACAAAACGTTTCCTCACATCCCTGTGGCTCATCTCAGTGTCTAACTTGTTGCATACATGTTCCCTCGTTACGCTACACCTACTGCTCCACCAACAGTATATATCTATTTTCATCCACATCCTTGAGTGCTTCATGTGACTTGAACTTCAAGATGAGCTTGCAGCCTCGCCTTTCGAAAATTAGTTGTTTATGATTTCGATCTTTTCTCCTTTCTCTTATAATATTTGCTACATTTAAAATTGTGTATTGAATCAACCATTTGTTCGACTAACTCATTCCTCTTATTGACAACGCTTGACGTTACAGAAGTTTATCCCGATATGTCACTAATATATCTAGTTTCCATCTGAGACGTCTCGTTCTGCGGTTCCCAACTTTAAACTTTTTTCTTTTACTTTTTCATTTCTTCTTGCAATCTTATAGACTATGTCACCTTACCTTGCGTTGATTTCGGGGCTCAACGTCCCTGCGGCTCAACGTTCCTGACCAGGCCTGGTTCAACCAGGCTGTTGGTCGCGGCAGCTCGCAGCTTGACGTATGAATCACAGCCTGGTTGATCAGATATCCATTGGAAGTGTTTATAGAGTTCTCTCTTGAACACTGTTAAGGGTCGGCCAGTTATGCCTCTTATGTGTAGTAGAAGCGTGTTAAACAGTTTCGGGGCCTCTGATGTTGATAGTTCTCTCTGATGTCTATATCATATCTTCCCCATTCCTACTCTTCATAGTTTTGAGATCCAATTTCCTTAGTATTCCTTCGTAATTCAGCCTCAGCCCAAAATCTGGCCTAGTTGTATAAATTTGGATCTTTTCTAGTAGTAGTGCTTTGCGTGTTTTCTTGGGGGAGAGGGAGATTTTTTCTATGCCGAGATTGCATAGTTACTCTCACACACCGACCAAAGAGCCAGAGCTCAACCCCCGCAAGCACAAATAGGTGAGTACATATACGGTCTCCAACTGTCAGGGACAGATGCCTAAGAGGTTTATCAAGGTCCCCTTATGCCAACTATTGACTTGCCTTCCCTAGGATATAACCCACAACGAGCATATATTTAATACAAGGAGACGTGCCCAAGCGTCTACAGTTCCACCAAGGGAATCAAACTCGGGACCGACTATACTGACCAATGTCTGTGTCTGTGTATATACTATTTGTACTTCCTATTTGTGCCCGCAAGGTCGAGCTGTTAGCTCTTGGGACCACGCCTTTCTATCCATTTGTTGTTTAATGTACTAACTTCCTACATATGTTCACTACTTAGCATATATTATATACATAAGTATAGTATAGAACACTTAAGTATATATCTGTAGTTAAGTATATATACATATACTTAACTACATATATTTTTCTTTCACACACATGCACATATCCCCAAGATGCAGCCTGTAACAACTGTCTAACTCCCAGGTCCTTATTTACTGCTGGGTGAACTGGGCCGTCAAGTGAAAGAAATGGCCCATTCGTTTCTGCCTCGGCCGGGAATCGAACCAGAGTCCGTAGGACTACGACCCCCCCAAAGAGTTGTGTGTCTGTGTGTACTTACCTAGTTGTGCTTGTGTGGGTTGAGCTTTGGCTCCTGCCTCTCGACTGTCAATCAACTGGTGTGCAGATTCCTGAGCTTATTGGGTTCTATCTTGTCTACATTTGAAAGTGTGTATGAAGTCTGCTTTCACCACATCACTGTCTAATGCATTCCATTTGTTAACTACCCTGACACTAAAACAAATGATTTATAATATCTCTATGGCTCATTTGGGTACTCAGGTTTCCACCTGTGTCCCCTTGTTCGTGTTCCACTCATGTTAAATAGTTTGTCTTTGTCCACTCTGTCAATTCCTCTGAGAATTGTGTAGGTCGTGATCATGTCTCCCCCTTACTTTTCTGTCTTCCAGCGAAATGTGTGTGTGTGTACTCACCTAGTTGTGCTTGCGGGGGTTGAGCTTCGGTTCTTTGGTCCAGCCTCTCAGCTGTCAATCAACCGGTGTACGGATCCCTGAGTGTATGTGTGTGTGTGAGTGAGATGCCCGAGTCAGTCAACCGGTGAGTGTGTGTTAGTGAGTGTGTATGGGGCAGTTGCGGGGAGGGAGGGTTGACAGAGGAAGAGACGTAATCAGCATCAACGAAACCGCTGGGTGAAAATTTATGGCTGGGTCACAGAGAACACTGCCAGGAGAGGAGTGATGGGGTATAGGGACCGAGGGAGGGGGATAGCCGGGCTGTGGAAGGGCCGAAGATCAGGTGCTGGAGCAGGAATACACAAATATATCCGTACACAAGACGTGAAAAACATAATAAAGATGAACATGAGAGGTAAAACACAAGGGTTAGAAAAGTGGAATGCAATGGCGATAGTGGGTGAAACTATATACGAGGAGCAGGAGAGGACGGAGAGAATTGTGAGAGATGAAACTGTAGCTGTCTGATAAACTGAAGAGGAACTGATCTTGGTTATGGTGAAACGTCTAGCAAACCCCTAAACACTTGACAAAACTTGAAAACATATAAGAATTCCCCACCAAGAAACGCTATGGTCCGTCCTGTCAGCCAACAGCGATAGTGAAAGTTACACCAACACCAATAATGCCAAGACCAACGAGTCAGAGGTGTTATCAGGCAGGAAGTCGCCCCAGCACATCATAAGGCAAAAACGTTACATCACTGAGAGCCTCCCAAGGGAAGTACTGTGTAACCTGTCACTGTTGCTATGCAGCCCTCCCGTTATTGACGTCTGCCGCCGCTGCCTCCCGACTCTTGGTCAGATAGGCCTATTTACGCTGCCTCTCCACTTCAAATGCATACTTTTTGTTAACTTTCATGCCATGTAGTTACTGTAATTATAAGTGCGATCAGAATGCCACAGTTTGCAGGCAGGGTGATGAAGAGCGTCTAGTGGTCGCTGGCAAGCGGACGCCGGTAGTACCTTACCTTTGTTAGCCCTCTGCCTTCATACTATAATAGTCAAGTAAGTCACTTACCTCCGATTGTTCCACAAGATGTCCCATTTTTCTTTCAATTTGTCAAGCTTTCTTCAGGACGCTACAGTTGACTCTTCCTTCTTCAAACTCCGTCAACTCTAACATACACGAATAAGTTAGTCTGCTCTGTGTATATAAGTCTGCTTTCGGTAGCAAGCAGTGATTTTCCATTCAAGCACCTATGGGCAATATTAAATTTAATCCATAGGAAATCATAAAAAAAAATCACAGATTAGAACTTAAGAGCTGAGGAATACAGACGTCTTCACGAGAGCGAAGCTCAGCTGAGACTGGGAGAATCCTTTGTTTGACACCTACCCAGCTGATTGGCCGCACAGCTGCTCCTCAGCTGATGCTGGGCTTGCCAACGTTCGCTTGATCTACGATGCTTTCTTCCCTTACTGCCTTTATTAAGCCTATTAACTTAATTTGTTTTATTTCAATCACAGCTAAAGTGTTATATCATTTTAAAATGCGTGTATGAATAAGCATATTGCAATATATCGTTAAATATTAATGATATAAAAGTCTTGGTCGGTGGCGTCTTCTTGCTGCAGGTCGATGACGGAAGCATCCTAAAAATACGCGGTAGGTTTGAACATGTTAAATAAAACAGTTTAGAATGTTTTTAAACTTAATAAAGAATCATTTTTGCTTCCTTTTTCGTAAATGCTATATTGTATATAATATATTTTTTACTTTTCATGTCTCAATCTAATTTAAAGGGAGATAAAAATTACTTATAAAATAAACCAAACCGGCTCGTCCAGGCAAGCCGGCAAACACAAGCACATTCCAGCTTAGGGAATATTGTTAGTTCTTCATACTCTAACTTTAAATATTCTGTATAAACAGAGCACACGAATCAGTTTATGTTATGCAGAATGTGAGTTACAACATAAATTAACCCACCTACACATCCTGTGTTATAGTATCGCATTAAATGTTTGTGCATTGCATTTACATGTTACTCCATATAGATTTTAGTTCATTTCATTTAGTATGCACTCCATACCAATCCTGTGCGTGATAGTGGGCTCCATACCAATCCTATGAGTGGTTGTGAACTCCATACCCATCCTGTGAGTAGCAGTAGACTCCATACCCATTCTGTGAGTGGTAATGGACATCACACATCCCCTCCTAAGAGTGACATAAGATTGAATGATTGATGATGAAGATAAAGCCACCCAAGAGGTGGCACAGGCATGAATAGCCTGTAATGTAACATAGTGGTATAAGAATTAAAAATTATCAAAGAAGACACCAAGCCGGGAAGGCTATGTACCTACCTTGAGGCTACCTTGAGGTGCTTCCGGGGCTTAGTGTCCCCGCGGCCCGGTCGTCGACCAGGCCTCCTGGTTGCTGGACTGATCAACCAGGCTGTTAGACGCGGCTGCTCGCAGCCTGACGTATGAGTCACAGCCTGGTTGATCAGGTAAAAATGTAGCACATTTTTAAAATAAATTTGTACAAAATACAGTCATTTTAACACTGTTAATCCTATTTTATCAAACTTCAAAAATTACACGAATCGCATAAATTATGTAATTTAGTAATTTACTTTAATCTTTTAGGACCCTCCATTTGGAGTTCTAGGTATAAGAAATACGGACTCCATATATATATCCTGAGAATGGTAGTGGACACAACATCATATGAGTGATAGCTGACTTCATGCCAATCCTGGATGTGGACATGACTCCATGCCTATCCTGTGAGTGGTAGTGGAAACCATATCAATCATATGAGAGTAAATGACTGATGTGTCTGTATTCAACTCAAACCTTAGAAATCTAATACTTGATAACAGACTGAACAAAAACCACCTAATTATCGCAGGGGACTTTAATATTGACCTCTGCGAGCCAGAACACCCTACTGCTGTTAGCTTCCTCAACTGTATGAATTCCTGCCTCCTCATACCCTTAATCACTAGACCTACTAGAATCACTGATAGCACTGCCACGACTCTAGATCACATCTGGACCAACATAACCTCTCCGCTTACTTCAGGTATAATCACCGATAGCACTACAGACCACTACCCCACATTTCTCTTAACTAACATTAGCAAACCACCTCTAGAAACAAGGGAGTTAAGCTTTAGGCTGCATAATGAAACTGCTATAAACAATTTTATAACTGCTGCTGATAATGTCAACTGGGAGTCCGAGTTAGGTAACATAGGGGACATCAACCTAGCAGTGCAATCTTTTCTACAAACAACTCTTAGCCTTTATAACACCCACTGTCCTAGGCTTACAAAACAAGTCACAAGCAAAAGGCTTAACAATCCTTGGCTTACAAAGGGAATACTGAAACCCATTAACAAAAAACACGACCTTGAGAAGAAGTATAGGTTAGGAATTGTCTCCAAAGAATTCTCAAAGAATTACTCATTATTGCTATCTAAGATAATTAGACGAGCCAAAACTAATTACTACGAAGATAAATTTACTCAAATAAAGAGCAACATTAAACAAACTTGGAGCACAATTTCACAAATATTGGGATCAAAGAAATCTTTAAATAACAAACCGACTCTCCTGTCTAATAACGATGGTCAGCTTTCAGCCTCTGATTCTGCTATTGAGTTTAATAGGTTCTTCTCTTCCATTGGTTCATCCCTTGCAAATGATATTCCTTCTTCCAGTACTGACATTAAGGACTATCTTACAGGTAACTATCCACAGTCTCTGTACCTAAAGCCTATTAACTCCACTGACGTCAATGAGATAATCCTTTCCCTTAAAACCAAGTCTGGTGCCCTTGAGGAGATACCAACTTTAATTTACAAAAAAGCCTCCAGATCTTTAGCCCCTGCTATTGCTTTGCTCTTCAACAAGTCACTTGAACTCCAAACCTTTCCAGATATTCTAAAAAAAGCGAGAGTAACGCCTGTCCACAAATGTGGTGACCCCACAGATGTTAACAACTACAGACCTATATCAATCCTGCCAAACTTGTCAAAAATCTTTGAAAAACTTATATACAAGCAGCTTTACTCATATCTAGCAAAACTCAATATACTTAGCCCTTGCCAATATGGCTTCAGACCCAAAAAAAGCACTAACGATGCACTTATTAGTATGCTTAACTTGATTCATACAGCTCTTGATAAAAAGGAGTTCCCTGTTGGGTTATTTGTGGACCTGCGTAAAGCTTTTGATACTGTCAACCACCATAACCTTCTTCTTAAATTACATCATTATGGAGTCAGAGGACACTCCCTACAATACCTCGAGTCCTACCTTACTGACAGGCTCCAATATGTTTCTGTGAATAATACAATTTCTCCCACCCTACCCATCAACATTGGTGTTCCTCAGGGCAGCATACTTGGCCCTCTCCTCTTTCTCATCTACATTAATGACCTTCCAAATGCCTCCCAACACCTCAAACCAATTCTATTTGCTGACGACACAACCTTCATTTACTCCAGTCCTGACCCTCTTGCTCTAAATGCCACAGTAAATACTGAGCTAAATAAAGTCCATCTTTGGCTAACTGCCAACAAACTCACCCTTAACATTGACAAAACCTTCTATATTCTGTTTGGCAATAAATCCTCTAGTCTTATAAATCTCAAAATAAACAATACCCAAATTTGTAACAAATTAGATGGCAAATTCCTTGGCATTCTCATTGACCACAAGCTGAATTTCCAGGGACACATTCTAAATATATCAAAAAAGTTTCAAAAACTGTGGGCATTCTTTCTAAGATCAGATATTATGTACCACGCCCTGCCCTGGTGACTCTCTATTACTCCCTTATCTATCCTTATCTCAACTATGGTATTTGTGCTTGGGGTTCTACTACCCAAAATCACTTACGTCCTCTAATTACCCAACACAAAGCCGCTATTAGAACAATATCCAACTCTGGCCCCAGACATCACTCGGTACCCCTACTCAAATCTCTTAATATGTTAGATATTAAGTCACTGCACATTCTCTCATGTGTATTATACATATATAAAACGCTAAACTATAATGCCAATCCTGATCTTAAAAGCTTCATAGAAGGTTGTAACAGAACCCATGAGCACCACACCAGAAATAAATACAGTTTTGATATTCCTAGAGTACGTCTTAATCAAACTAGAAATGCTCTGCAAATCAAGGGGCCCAGAATGTGGAATGACCTTCCCAACCATGTTAAAGACTGTACCTCTCTCAACCAGTTTAAGATAAAAACTAAACACTACCTAATAAATTCCCTGTAATCTACCTCACTCCTCTATTGTCAACCCATGTCTGTTATTTTCTTTTTTTTTTTTTTTTTTTTAATCAACACTGTTTGTCAACCTTTTGTATTTGTGCTGCTTTTTCAGTCATGTTCCCCCTTTTTTTATCTTTATTTGTATTTGTTCTCAACATCTTTTATTCTTTATGCTCAATTAGTATTAAGTTCTAGATATTAATGTTTTCTTGCCCGAAACGCATTGCGTAATAGTGGCTTTAGGCATTGTATGTACTAGCTCTATCTATATATCAATCCATTAATGTAACATCACTTGTATGTATATACCTTACCTGAATAAACATCTGAATCTGAATCTGAAATAGATTTATACCTATACTATGAGTGGTAGGGAACACTCCTGTGAGTAAAAGTGGACGCCACACCATTACTGAGTAGTGGTGGACCTCATGTACACATCTCGTGAGTGGTAATAATAATAATAATAATAATTTATTCACAAGAAGGTACAATGGTTTGTGAGATTACATAAGATTGGTATTTATACATTCTTGCAAAGCCACTAACACGCATTATAGCGTTTCGGATAGTGAGCTCCACACCAATCCTGCGAGTGGATCGGACTCCGTAGCCCTCCGTTGGATAGTATAATGGACTCCATACCCATCCTGTGAGTGGTAATGGAATCTGTTCCCATCCTGTGAGTGGTAGTGGACTCCATACGCATCGATCCTCAGTAGGTAATAGTAGTCCCAGAAAGATTTCAGGCACATGGTGGGCTCAGACTCCAATGGTCTCTAATCTAAGAAATTTACATTTGTGACGGGCTAGTTATATATCATTTGAATTATTAATTTACCTATCATGAAGTCCGCACCCATCTAGTGGGCGGCACTGGAAAGGTTACAATCACCTGCATGCATTACCTATGAAAAGCAATAGCGTGGGATTCTTGGCTAAGATTTCTGGTAGTAAATCATGTTGAATTTTATTTTTGCAAATTTCGTAAAGGTTTGTGATGCAGTTATTTATAAAGTCTTATACCTCTCAAACCTCACCTGTAGTCTGTCTCACATCTGATATAATGCACTTCTCTAACACAAGGACAGTAG